GGAAGACTGTACTGAGACATATAGTAAACAGTATCGAAAACAGCCTCTAAGTGGAAGATTTAACTGTGTTTTGAGTAAAATTATACTTATTCAAATGAATCAGTGTTTCGTGGAACGCAAATTTAGGTCTGTTTCATTTTTGTGAAAATGTATGGAGAAATGTATGACGTCAATGCCAGAGATAAATCACTTTCGGTGATCGGCAAACAGATTCCACTGAGTGTATTCGGCTAAATAGCAGTGAAACGCATAGGGATGGATCGATGAAAATCATTGATGACACCAGGTGTTTGTGAAAAGCCTTGCATGCACATGTCCTGATCTAGTGGACCACCCTGTTGGAAACCCTGCACCTACTTTGTAACACTTTCTGTTTCTGGTCTTGTTTTCAAGTTATGATTAATATGCATGAAGAAAATATCATATCTTCATCTTGTTTAGTATTTGAAAACTTTAGAGAAGCTGAAAACATATCGAGATTACTGTCATGAAACCTGTTTCATGTATATACGTAGCCACTAAGGACATTGCTTTGCGAATCTGCGGTCGCTTTTCATGTTACTAATATATTTCGGAACAGCTTACTTTCCAACAGTTCCACGAGGAATTCGCACTGCAAAACTTGACAATTATTCACATTGCATATGGAACAAAGTCCTTTGATGTGTTAATGGCCCATAACTAGATGTGACTGGAAAGAGTTGATATATTAAAACATTTAAATCATGGTAATACTATGCTAGTTTCACCACCCAGTGCTATTGCATATCCACATCGCAGAACTACCAACACTCATATAGCCTTTGAAAATGAATGCATTGTTGAAAAAGCGATTGATTCAATGATTCAAACTGATTCATTTACATATCGTGAATATTTTCAAACGTTAAGTGTTATACTTGTAAACAAAAACATTAATGTGTCAAAGATACCATTATTCTTTCAACCTGTTTCAAACCCTGCATGATCTTGCGATCACACTTCCCCCATAACACCTAATCATTATGAAGCAACGCAGACTTGAACAGACTGGGAACTATGGTCGATTCAGTCTGCATTGGCATTCAATAGATTCCGCTGTGTCAGACTTCGAGGGATTCAGCACCCTACCATCAGACCAAATGTGATCCAATATACTTGGACATGGATAATAACATCTGGTGCAGGGTTTAACGTTAAACAGTCCATGCATCCAGGCCGTTGTGGTCACTTCAAAAGACACAGTGCTCACCATACTGAAAATGCATCAAACGGAATACAGCACTGCGCGGGACTATCAATCCCTTTATCTATGCTTGAAGGTAACTCCAGAGAAAATAGGCTGAACTTGTTACTTGCCTCAATGGTCAAGCCTTCTCCCTGTCGGCTTAGTGGGTGGTCGGCATAGGTTCTGCCATGATTGAATTCCTTCTGTGCATGCTTCCTCGCCCAAACACCCTGCGACAAAAAATTAAGGTGTAATTTACTGGTAATAAGACTATTTTATTCATGCAGAAGATGATTATTTTATCAAATAAAACACCACACGGCCATCCTGATCGGCAGAAAACGATGATCTGCTGACTAGTGTGTAGGACATGGTTTAGAAATTGGTTTGACTTTATTATACGCATTTTGTGGGGAGAATTTAAATGGTGTACGTATTTATTTAGTTTCTATTTATCCCATGTTTTGTTTTCCTCGTATTCACAAAACAGCCAACATAGGCCTTACTAAATGGTCGATGACTTTATAACCATTATACTGTATTCATTAATCGGTATTCCTGTTCTGTACAGTTATTCCAATGCAATAGGTCATTTTCACTTTCATTCTACCATTTCCGCTGTCATTGATTGAATTTGTCTACAACATTCAGTCATGCATTTTTTATGGTGAAACGTCTCTACTGCTCGTAACATCACTTACTGGATTCCAAGGATGATCATTGCTTCCCGGTAACATCATTTGAATTGCGAAAGGCTATAAATAGCCGAAGAGTGATCCTATAGGATATTTTCCATCAGTTAGTCTGTTCTTTTTGTATGTAAACGTGGAGAATAGGGCTTGTTACCACTGATTATCGCTTCAACTTTGAGTTTCGTGAGCTAAATGTGAGATACCTACTGTGGTAACAAGATGATCAAATGTACATGTGTACATTATGTACATTAAGCACGCAAACTGTGATTGACTGTACACAACCATCCAATTAGAGGTCCAACAGATGCTAAACTAAACTAGATTCCACAAAATCATGTGGTACATCGATGAAATAATTTATATAGAAACAATAGAATAATAACTTAGAATGTCGATGGATGCATTGATTTTGAAATCCTTAACACTTGAGTTGGATACATTGTTTTGATCCTCAGTATTTTGCAAGTCACAGCCGTCGCCAGTGGCAAGTCCATGACATGTTTACCAGATGTCATCGAGCTTGTGGCATCCATGTTTAACTTGTTTGTGGTTTGATACTGACAGACACAAATGTGAATACGACCTAGGCCTTGATCAGCTATATTTAATGTTTAGAGTGAATGGTTGTACCTGTTTCTTTCTGTGTTTGTGTGAGCTTCTTAGGTTTCAATTTGTTTTATTGCTACTGTTTGTCTGTGTTTGTTTTATTTCGGGGGTGGGGGTGGTGGTTATGGTTTATTTTGGTGGTCTTTGGGGGGCAGTTCGCCTGAGATGGAGCATATTTTGGCATGTACGGGCAACATCACTTCCTGAATCCACTCAAGTCTTCCATATCTCCATTTACAATAAGACTTTCAAATCAAGGGCGCAGTTAGGTGGCAGATTGTGCGATTTACATCAGTTTCACAACAATATTGGCTTTACAGATAGCACTCATGTGATGACATTGATGCGTCGTCCTTTGTCATTGGCCCATGCACTGATGTATTATCTGGATCTACAGAAACAAAAACACAAGTCCAATATATGTTAACAACAATACTCCAAACCCAATTAGATTGCTGTAGATCGTGGACAGTGATCTTGTATGTTTATATAAACCACCACTGTATGTCCACATACAGACAGAAGCTGCTAAACAATACGATTTCCCAACGGTACTCTATATAACAAGTTATAATACACCTGTGCGTTATGGATAAAGCTGAATAATGTCACACTTATATACAATCTGTAGCCATTCAGCTCGTGAGGCCAATCATGTACGTTACATATAACGACCTACAAAACACATTGATCCGCAGCTAGATACGTCCACGCGGCTAGTATCCGATTACACTCGTTTATACATACACGTATATCTGTGGCTGACAACTGGAGGTCGTAAACAATAGGCGCACCAGGCCGAGCGTCATGCACAATGTAGCCTTTATTAAACAAAGCTCGCAGAAGACCTGTACCTACCATGTAATCTTCCCGAGTGCTTCTACCGAGATCCTTGTTTGTCATATGTATCCTTCTCCAGCAATGCGATTGCTGTTCCGGTCACACTGAAGTGATCGTCTATACCGGCAGGCCCGGGTGAAATATCAAATGTCTTTGGTAGAACTGAAAACCGTTTAACAACGTGGCCACAACCTGAATATATAACACGGTAAGGAGTGGTTGTTTAGTATAGACCAGCTTAATACCAGCATATTCTCGAATGTGTTACCTATTTGATGTGAGACATTCATGTCCATAGAATGATATGGACTGGAGGATCCACGTTCTGTGTACTATTGTTTGATGTACTAGTGTGCTAGTAAGTTAGATGATTTTGTTTTGTTGAATTGCGTCTACCAGGTCAGCTGATGGTATAATTTTACGTTGTAATAACGACAATGGCTAACCATTTCCCTCCAGTTTTCACGTGGTTGGTGTATTTTTATTTCGTTTGTTGTTGAATGACATTCAGATGAAGCAGTGCAAGTAACATATGCCGCACATGTAATGGATTGTTTCTATCCGCTGCATGACTGTATAAGAATACATTCCTGATGTTACGTTCATTCCAATGTACGTACAGCTTATCGTTATATATCGTTTTTAAAAATGTATTCATTTTCCGTGTTTATTGCTGGTGTGGATATTTGTTTCGCTCAGAGTATTATTTATGGTATTGTGGTAGCTTCAGAACCGTAAACACCCTCACCATGGCAACTGTACATAAAACAGCTGCTTTTGATAGCATCTTATCTGCATTCTCCTTTCATACTGTGTATCCTGTCATTGTTGTGACGAGGAAATTCACATGCAGTTTATTGTTTCATCATCATCGTCGTCGTCGGTGTCGTTGTTGTTGTCGTCTAAATAATTAAAACTGACTGACTTATGTCACATAATCTAGTAATACAATGTGTGTGATATTACGTCGTCAGCCATTAAAGCGTCACTGACGTAAATTATTATACAGGGGCCTGGATACAGAACGGAGGTGAGGTGAAATTGGGTTTTAGCGTCGTGCTTGAGAATATTTCGTTCAAATGACGACGTGCATGCGTGTGTATGTGTATGTGCGGCTGCTTGTACTAGCCCAGACTGAAGCTGGTTTTATAGTGCTAGCCCACTGAGATACCAAGCCGCAGTGAAGCATTCATACACATTATACTGATTCCCAGCCGAACAGTAATTGTTGTATCCATTAAGGCCGAGCGCCAGGCAGGGACCAACAAGTACCATATTTTAACGTCTTTTGGTATGACGCGGTCGGAGATCTACAGAACGGAGAGTGTTTTCACCAAGTATTTGGTTCAGTTTTAAGGGCATATTAATCTTATGTGCCATATGTTAAAGCATTTAAGATAAGAAGACGAGTATAATCATTTATCGGCGACATGTATTTCCTGCAGAGATTGCACACCGTCTACGTGCATTATCTGTGATATATTATATACAGCTTACCTCACGATGCACACACGATTGGTTGAGTTAGACCTTGGAGCCTCCAAACAGGATCTCTTAATGAAAATAGACATGGTTATATATCACCATCCTCATTATTAATTGGTTTAGGATGTTGTATGGAGGATCAAGCTAATATCCTTCTTTGGTTACAGGTTTAAGTAAGGCTGGAGGGATGCGACAGTCGTGGTTTAACTGAACGGCGGGATTAAAAAGACGGACACAAAGAGACGAAACTTGACGAGGATATATCGTTAAGTATCGACAACAATCGGAATGTACGCCACCACAGCTTCATTTGGAGTACTTGTTTTATACGTCCTTCACCTTGTGAATGGAGATTTACCCGACAGATTGCGGATCGGTGAGTATTGTTAACGGTTGATCATACTTTAATCACTTTGATCAAACTTTAGTTGTGAGGAAATTTCTGGTGATATGTGTTACAATCAAGGAATGGGTCGATGGTTGAGAAACAAACTACAAACCATGCATCTGGGAATCAAAGTTAAGATCATCAAACCCTTGCAGATAAGGTCACTCACGAACACTTTCTTCGACTTCATAAGTACCATAAGCCCCCGCAAATCCAAATTATGCCTTAGTACCGCCAGTCGCGGTGATGCAATCCACCTTTAGCATAAGTACCTCAATATTTACACCCCTATATATGTCTTTGTACCGCCCCTACCTATCAGTGCGACGACCTCAGTACTGTCACTCACCATCAGTGCAATGACCTTAGTAATACCACTCACCATCAGTGTAATGACCTCAGTACCACCACTGACTAACTGTAATGACCTCAGTATCGATCACCACTCACCATCAGTGTAATGACCTCAGTACCGCCGCTCACCATCAGTGCAATGACCTCAGTGCCACCACTCACCACCACCATGACTGCCACAGTACTCACTGCCGCTCACGATCAGTGTAATGACCTCAGTACCACCGCTCACCATCAGTGTAATGACCTCAGTGCCACCACTCACCATTAGTGTAATGACCTCAGAGCCACCACTCACCATCAGTGTAATGACCTCAATGCCACCACTCACCATCAGTGTAATGACCTCAGTATCACCACTCACCATTAGTGTAATGACCTCAGTGCCACCACTCACCATCAGTGTAATGACCTCAGTATCACCACTCACCATCAGTGTAATGACCTCAGTGTCACCGCTCACCATCAGTGTAATGACCTCAGTGCCACCACTCACCATCAGTGTAATGACCTCAGCACCACCACTCATATCAGTACAATGACCTCAGTACCACCACTTACCATCAGTGTAATGACCTCAGTGTCACCGCTCACCATCAGTGTAATGACCTCAGTGCCACCACTCACCATCAGTGTAATGACCTCAGTATCACCACTCACCATCAGTGTAATGACCTCAGTGCCACCACTCACCATCAGTGTAATGACCTGAGTGTCACCACTCACCATCAGTGTAATGACCTCAGTGCCACCACTCACCATCAGTGTAATGACCTCAGTGCCACCACTCACCATCAGTGTAATGACCTCAGTACCACCACCCACCATCAGTGTAATGACCTCAGTATCACCACTCACCCTCAGTGTTATGACCTCAGTGTCACCGCTCACCATCAGTGTAATGACCTCAGTGCCACCACTCACCATCAGTGTAATGACCTCAGTACCACCACTCATATCAGTACAATGACCTCAGTACCACCACTTACCATCAGTGTAATGACCTCAGTGTCACCGCTCACCATCAGTGTAATGACCTCAGTACTGCCGCTCACCACAATTTCTACTGCACTCTTTGTACAGCTTCTTGCTGACATTATCTACACTCCTTCTCACATCAAACCTCCCCACAATCGCCACCTAGCTAAATACAGAAAGTAATGTTCATTTTAAACACTAAATAGTCCTACGTGTTTTGACGATAGAAAATATTTTATTCCATTTCAATAGTTCTGTTTATAAAGCCTTGCCACAACGACATAGCAAATGAGTCATTCGGTGCATACAGAAATATACTCACCTGGAAACACCCTTGGTAACATATGGCAAGGCGGTGGCAGAAACCAAGGCTTTGTTCTCCACACTGAATATGATAGCATAAATGGCGCTTCATGCCTGGATAACTTTATCAAATGTGTATCGAAGTGGCGCTTATTATTTTAATGACTTTATCTGTATGAAACTGTTGCATATGCACAGATCGCAATTCCTTTATCGTATTGTTTACCACTTTGTTATGGAAACTGTTACATGTGTTTTTGCAGAACTCTGGTGCAATTCCAGCAAATATATTGGCATTATAAGTGACTAATAATGTTTCCACAACCTATGTCACCCTTCCGAATGTCGGTCATTTGTCTTTTATATAGATTTTATTATTGATCTGTGTAATTCAACTGTGATCACTAAAAAGGGTTTTAGAGCACCATTTACATTCAGAATATGTTTCTATATACTTTTAACGCCTCGGCCGTTGGTATTTATTTCACATCTGTCACACATGACGAAAATGTTGCTATCTTAGAACAATAATTGTGGAATGTAATTAAGCTGTTGCGGTTGAAAGAGTGCATGTTGTATATTGTGCGACAATGTTGCTTTCAGAATTGCATCCTTTTGATAATCCAATGTTCAAATCCCAGAGTTCAAATCCCAGTTTTGCCATGTTTCAAGGTTTATCCCCACCATACATTTGTCCTTGCGTTGCACCAACGTGGTGAAGTGGTTAGAGCGTCAGCCCGGAGAGCGGAAGGTCGCGGGTTCGATCCCCGACCGTGTCATACCAAAAGACGTTAAAATGTGGTACTTGTTGGTCCCTGCCTGGCGCTCAGCATTAATGGGTACAACAAGGACTGGTTGGTTGGGATTCAGTATAATGTGTCTGAGTGGGGTATTCATGCTTCACTGCGGCTTGGTATCTCAGTGCGCTAGCACTATAAAACCAGCTTTAGTCTGGGCTAGTACAAGCAGCCGCACATACACATACACACGCATGCACGTCGTCATATGAGCGAAATATTCTCAAGCACAACGTTAAACCCAATTTCACCTCACCTCACCCCACCCTGCGTTGCACCAACGTGCTAAGCGTTCGGAATTTCCTCCCTTTAAGCTACATATCGTAACATAACTGAAATGGAGTACCAAACGGTGCTTAACTCATTCGCTCTTTTATAATACCACTGTTACTCGGGATAAATCTTCAAGGATATAACATTGATTCGCCTCGCCTATCTTGCGTCATATTCCTGCAATGACGTATTGTCACAAAGATACACCATTATGACTTATACAATGTTCATCGTGCGGTCTATGGCTGTCAACCGAGTAAACATACTCAGCATTCAGCGTTCATATTGCAGGAAACGGTGTAGAGGCTTTCATCTATAAACATTCCAACTTGACGTAAATGTTGTCACAGCAGTGTGCAACACGATAACAGAACGTTGTAGTTCGTAAGCATGGTTTTGTCATTGTAGGTATACATAACACACGAGAGTACAATCAGTGAGTGTGTGAGTATTGTTTAACACCAACTATTGGATTATTCATATGATGATAGAAGGATTACAGAAAGTGACTTTGCCTTCTACCTACGTGAGAATCCGCGCGAGAATCGAACTCGGGTGTTCGTTGTAGACAGCCAAAGATTTAACCGTTAGACTATCATACTAGCATCATCTTGTGAAGAACATTAGGACCAGTCTATTTTCAACAAAAAATCCACCGTTATCCTTCATTCCATGTTTGGGAAGGTTATTCTCTGTATTATACATGACCTTTTTTTGGAAGACGTACAAGACACACAAAATGTACTCACTCAAACCAGTACATTTATAGCGCACTAGATTTAGACATATGTATTTTATTATACCTCCATGTAACGCCATGATCTTGCCCTTGTCAAAAGATGCGTTCCCATCCTTTTGTCACGGGTTGGTCAAATGTTCCTCCATATTCCGAAAAGCGACATCCCTTTGTCCACGAAAACATGCAACGGCTTGAAAAAACAAAGTGGGAACATATTTATGCCACAAGTCGATATTAAGAATAGCAAAATTTTAATAATATTGCCATTGATCCGTAACATCTTGAAATATCCTCCTTATGTCTACCAAGTCTAAATTTTACAGAGGCCATGAAGCAACGTTTTTATCAAAGGGCTGTTTTACGTCCTTTGTAATCGTGTAATGTACGTTTGTTAAAAAATGTAAACACCAAAGGCTGAAATTGCTTGAATATTTTTTACATGAAGGGAGAGTTGAATATTAGAAAACATTCTTCTTGTAAAACAGTCATGTTGATAGTTCGTTGTCATTTTGACAGATCGAAACATGATACAGATACAGATGTTACAGACATTGTCACTGGTCTGTTGTATTTCATATCTCAGCTGGATAAAACAGGCTGAAAGAAATGGGCTATTTGGGCTATTTGATGATATTTCAACAATAGACGGCCATCGATATATCAGAAGGTTACACGTCACGTGTCGTCAATTTACCAATCCGTGCATTCAGCCATCAAAATGTTTCATACCCCTACTGTTCTCTTGTAGCCTTGACCCAAGCCCTACTTTCTGATGCTGTCGTAAACGCGACACTGGCTTCATTGGCATGGCCACCATTTACACAGAAATTCCCAGACAAAAACTCCAAACATATTGTCCTCAGACAAGATCGTGGCTCAGTGTTCAGTCATGTCACCAGTGGCCTCATTAAAGTAAATCATGTGTCATGAGACGTAACATCGTAAGACTGAAATGTAAACCTTCATACACAACGTCGCCAGTTATTCCACACCATGTATAGCTTTTCAGGACTGACTAAACATCATCTCTTAGGCATTAGAACCTGAGTTTGAAAACTGCTCTAGCTGTGATTGACGTCTATTAGTATAATAAATAACAGTTAATATGATCTGATCTGTTTGTCACCGGATGGTTTTTACATCATGTTTGCACTTTTGTTGCAGTTAAAATCATCATCCCTGCTCGCGCTCTTCAATGTCAGACAATTGCGTATTTCCTGCTAAACACAGCGTGATTACATCAGGTTTTTCATTTGTAAATCATGCGCCCAAAGTCAAATATTTACAGACTCCTGTGTTTACTTTTGATCAACAAAATGTTATTGCTTCGTCTCCGCTTAACTCTGACTTTCAAAGTCAAATACCCTCAGCTTTCTCCATTTACCTTTGCAAAATGGTCTGGCATGGAAAAGATCCACGCGCCCAATTGTACATTTATTCACTGACTTTGTTTGAGTTCTTTAAATATTGAAGACTTACGAGGATTCCGTCAGTGCCCCTCGCGACTGACAACGTTGAAACAATAAGGCGGTTCCAATGCTATC